AAAAAAGAAAAAAAAAAAAAAAAACTGTCCTCGACTGACTTTTTTTTTTGTAGAAAGAATCTCTCTTGCCTCCTCTCAGCATTACAAAATCCCGTGCGCTGGGGGAGATCTGTGGCAGTGCTAAGATATTAAATGATTTTTTTAACAGAAACGAGAGGCGTGTCAAATCAATTTGACTCGATTACTTTTGCTGCAATTCTCACGCTGGCGGAACCAAAGACACCGATCGGCGGCTTGGTGAGTCTCTCTCCCCCCACTTTCTCTCTCCCCTCTCTCTCTCTGGCGCTCTCTCCCTCTCTTCTGTCGCTCTCCCTCTCTCTCTCTCCAACCCTCCCCCTCCCTCTCTCTCTCTCTCTCTCTCTCTCTCTCTCGCTCACTCCCACTCTCTCTCTTAGAAAACAATAAAAAATGTCAAGTGTTGATCTTGGTCCTGGTTTCATATGAACCAGATAGCGCGACACAGTGTAAGGAACAACAACAGTATGCCCAACAGTTCATAACACTAAGCTTTACTCTACATTAGAACCATTACTATCAATGCGTCATGGCACAATGTCAGAGATCACGGTCTCAACCAAAACAATCATCAACAACAAGCAAGATCCTGGTGAATTCCCGCTGGTGCGGATAAAGTTTGTTAGTTTGTATGAATTGCCTCTCGGCACTCGCTTGTCTGTCAATGTCTTTGATCCCATTCTCCTCCAAATCCGGTTAGGTCTCGCTAAATTTTGAGTTTTTTTATTTTTAATTTTTTTAATTTTTGTTTTTATTTATTTTATTTTATTTTATTTTATTTTATTTTATTTTTTTGCGAAACTTCAGACTACCTCGTATGATTCCCGTTTTGGTACCGGTTGTGCTGTTTCTTTGATATTCCTATTTCAGCCCCTTGCAAGTGGAATCGTGTGTCCCCCGGGATATGGTTTGAAAGATCACCACCAGAATTGTCACCCACTCCTCTCAAACTTCAGCACCATCTATTTTCCATGGTCTCTGGAGATTTCCATAGAGAGCAACCATGATATGCCATTATGTTACTTTCTTCACCAAGAGATTTTAAACATCGTTGTCAAACTCACGGATGCCAGGTTCGAGTATGAATGTCAGCTTCTGGTAAGTTTCTCTCAGTGAATGTGTAAGTGTGTGTGTGTGCGTGTGCTTGTGCGTGTACACACGGCTGTGTCTCCATGTGTTTATATAAGTGTACAAAGTATACTCAGTATTCCCACTAAGTGTGCGTATGTACGAGTATGCGTTCATGTGAACGCGTGTTTGTGTGAGTTTCTAAGTAGGTAACCTATGTGTGTCATTTATAGTTAAGCTGGTCGCTCTGACTCTCTTGGATATTTACTTTAAAATTGCCCTTTTTAGGTAATGTCCATTTCCCAACTCTGGGCTTACTTTTCATATCATTATTTTCATTGAACGTCACACTTCAATTACAAATTGAAGCAAAACTTTTTTTTGCCACACAATTAATAAATGTTTTTCATCTTATTCATTTATTTTAACATAATTTGTGTGTATTGCAAAAATCAATTATGTACGATAACAGTAGTATGATGAACTGTCTCGAAGACGTACGTCTTAAAAGAAAAATATGAGTGTTCACTTAGACATTTTTCTCCTGTTGCCCAGGTCCCCGACGCCAACAACGGCACCGACAGCAAGGAAAAACTCCTGTACAAGGGCGGTGTGAGCTTTAACTCTGTCATCCCGAACTATGAGGTTGGTCTCAGGCGGGCTAGGTGCTTTGAAATGAAAGCGAGGCAGCGTTTGGGAGGGAGAGACATCGTGGTGGGGAGAGTCAATGTCACGGTGAGCCACGGGAAACCAGAAGATCCATCCGCCTGTGACTCGGAGGGAAACAGCGTTGGTACCCCTTTGGTGCCCCCTATCGATCAAAAGGGGGTCACCATGACAACAGATGAGACCTCTCCCAGTATGCAGTCACAGGCTTTTCTCATTTCTGCACAATATATACCATTGCTGTCTATCTTTGTTGTTAATCTTTAATTCGGGAAATACAGGTAGTTCTGCAATTCAATAACCCATGAGTGGTTTCTAGAATTCATCTTTCCCTTTTTTACCGTTATGTATTTATTCCCCTCTCTCTCATTTTTGTATATTCAAGACACTAAGATATACAGATACGCGATGTTATAAAATCGGAGTTTCAATTAAATATTATAAACATATTATTCAGATAACAATGTAACCTTAAGCGGATAATGATAAATGATGTCTATCTCTATATACACATGTATTTTAACTAGTAGGCTGCAGAACCCATATACTTAAACGTAGGATAAAATGGAAACATCTTCAGTTTAAGCTTAAATAATTGGGAAAAGTGCATATTCAAAAATAATATAAACCAGAAATATTATTCAGACACGCGGTAATGGTATTATAGTGTCGAGATTTCAGTGGTGCACGTTGTGAAGTCGAGATGTGTGGAGTTTTGTGAAATGCACAGAAATTTGACATTAACTTTGTAATAAACAGTTTGACAGCCACTCACGCCGTTGTGGCACGTGAGATGTACATGTTGACGTCGACCTAGTTGTAGTTCAAAGTACATTTTGTTAATCAGGAGTGGACCCAACCCTTGTTTTCAGTGATTAAAGGGATAAGAACACTTAAATTATATCACGCGATCCATATTTAACAATAAATGCATTGTAAACAACTCATAAAAATATGATTAATTCTATCTTACCACCAAAACGGTGGTTATGGCAATTATTCTGAAATCTGTGCTTGCCATCAGACCACATGACCTTCTTAGATTGCTAACCACTGTAATAATCTCTTTAAAAAAGGAATAACTTTAAATATTGGAACGGAATTATTCACAATTGGTAACTATGGGAAAATCGTCGTTTACCCCAAGAATAAACATTTTTTGGTCAAAATGAACTGTTGTTATCTCTTTAACTTACTTCACGCAATTGACATCCATCCGCACGAAAGAAAATAAACTTATCAATAGAGGTTGTTTTTATCACGTTTTATACAAATTTGATATATCAGTAAAAGCACAATATTATCAAACAATTGGACGCGAAGTTGTATACTTTGTCAAGCATGTTTGTAAAAAGGCTTCAATATCTTAAAGGCGATTTGTAATTGTGTGATGTCCAAGCAGAACCCTTTGATTCCCTTCGCAACATTCTAGTCATATTAAACAAATAAATAAATAAATGAAAATGGAGTGAGTGGGGCATTCATTGCTTGGCAGTGCACTTAGAAGGGGCAGGACCGCAGCCGGTGTGTGTGTGTGTGTGTGTG